ACTCGAAAAATAACATTTGCAGCCTGCACTTGACCTCTTTGATTGTGGTCGGTCGGTCTCGACATTTGTAATAAGCGTCTGGGAGCAGACAAAACATGGCAACAACTTTTAATTGCATGGCAGATAGTTCGGTAAGCCCTCGTTTTCTGGTGGGAGGAGCACCACGAGGCTAGACACACATAAAATTGAAATTTTCAAGCCTTGGCTCTCAAAGTTATGCGGCAAAAAGTTTCTGTTATTTTGCATACTCACATGAGATGGTAGTTGGGTGTTTGGTTGTTTGGCTGTTTGGCTGGTTTACTGGTGTCGAGCTGAGCTGATTTGATGGCCAGCCATCTGCATTAATGACTGGCCATGAAGAGGCTGACTCGGCGCCTCACCGCTGTGCCAAATTAAATGCATAATTACTTGGTAATTGGATTTGTGGTCGGCTCAACTGGCTGTGCAACATTTTCTAATTAAAATGTTTAGTGGCAGCAGGTTGAAGTCGCCTCCGCCGCCGCCGCACGATCGTCTTCTCCCTCATCCGTTCCAATATTCAAGTCTCAGGAGAGCTCCTCGATTGCCACTTGATGCCGCCAAAGCCTCAGGCACGTTCTCCACGTGGGGTTCCCCGCCAAGTAGCTCAAGTCCTGCCCACTTCGAGGGGAACGAACCGGAGTCACCTGGGCGAGGTGGGTACTTTGGCTAAGAAGTGGAGTGCAAAATGGTTCTAAGAAGCTCTTTAATGTAATTAGTAAAATAGATGTTATGAAAATCCAGTAAAGTACAGATATGTATATGCAATAAATGATATGATATTATATTATATACCTAGTAATTACTTTTCGAATACTTTATTAGTTAATATTCACAAAACTATAAGCTATATTCACACAAAACTACATTGATTTTCCTTCGATTCTGAATTAAATAAATGTTGCTAAGCCCTACTTAAAATTTAATTTAAATATTAAAAAAGGAATTGAATGCAATATTAACATAAATTCGTTAAGAATTGAAAGCACTAAGCACCAGAAAACGTTATTAAATATTACAAAAAAGGAATATACATATAAAACTCTTTTATGAAATAAAAATTTAAAACAAACCTAAAACTATACTCGTACAATCAAACCTAAGTAAAAAGATTTTCTTTCGTTTGAAAACTCTGATCTTAGGGTATTACTTTTCCAACTTTCTTCCCTGTTTTTCTTCCCAGCTATTTCTCTTATCTTGCGCCTCGGAAGCAGTGGCCTTGTTTCGCTCCCCAGGAGTTTCGGGGGCACTGCCGCTCTAAATAAGTAATAAACACCTTGCGACTCGGCCTCCTCGCTGCACGCTTCGTAGTAATAAATTTCTATTTTCCTGTTGTTCCGCCTTGTTGAGGCTGCGGGTGGCAAAAAAGGACAGAGAGGCGGCAGGACTTTGGGGCAAGATGAAAGCAATCACAGTCGGGTGCATAGTTTGGCGGCTTTTAAAATTTTCATAAGGAGCGCCGGCGTCGCATTCGTAATACAACGAAATTTATTGCATACACTCAGGCGGCATTGCCTGCTTACTTATTCATATGAAATTGCCTGATTACCGTTGGCCAAATCGTTTTGCCCAGCACCGATGTGTGTACAGAGCCCAATTTAGCCCCGTATTGGTACGTGTTTGAATTATATGCCGGTCATGCTGTGAATCGGGATTTGGGTTCGGAATTGGGGGACACACCCGATATCACTACTCTGCTCTGCCGTAATGCGCCTGTTTGTATGGCAATTGCCGCTCTGGGCCGAATTTTTTATGAACTGTCCGGGTCATGACTTTTATGATTTGTAAGTCCATGGGTCCATGCTGCTCTCGGTAAGTACGTACTCACATGTGTGTAGTTTCAGTCACAGAACTCATTGAATTAAGCAAAATGATGGAATGACAATGCGGCAAATAGAGGGGAAATATGAGTTTGGAAAATCGTGTGCGCAAATGAAATGGGGTTTAAGTATGACGTTGCAGGTTAGACTTTCATAAAAAAAAATAAATAAAGTTACAAACCCTAACATGAAAGTAAAAAAATAGTTTTTAGTACCAAAAAAGGTAATTACATTTTCCAATTTATGCTTACCTTATTTATTAATCCTTGCTTATATTCTTTTCATTCCAAAGATGTTTTCTTTATTTACCCATACAGTAAATCATGAACCAAATGTATTTTTCTTGTCTTTCGCAAACACTTTAGGCTGTATCAATATTTTGCTCCGAACGAAAATCTGCACTCGGCTTAAAAGAATCGAAAACACACAAAGTGTGAAAGCCTTGAGGACTAGCACGTGCTCAAAATCTCAGCAGAAAAGGCACACACTCAACTTGCTATAAACACCTTGCCGAGCACTAAAATATAACTTAATCCCAACGAAATTGATATGAAATTTCACAGACACCGGCGACACACGAAGCGTATGAGTAACAAACCAAACAAATAAACAAACACACACACAGACACACGAACACATGAAGAAAGTTCTGCGAGGCAGAAATTTAAATTCCACTCATGAGGTGTGAAAATGTTTGCTGTGCCTCGGCTTGTAAAAGTTTTTCTGGTGTCCCTTTCATGTTGACAGTTTTTCCCCGTTTTCCTTTTCGAGCTTTCCAGCATTTTGCTAATTTGTTGACGCTTTTTGCTGCTGTATCAACTTTGATGTTTACTTTGATAATTTTAGATTGAAAAAGTTACGCAGCAGGATTTAAGAAAATAGAGGACAAGATGACTAAGATTCTGGCTTTGACTTGAATGCTGTTTAAGCCACTTTTGAAGGAGAAACTCAGACTAATTACCCACATGGAAAACTGAATCAACCTTGTTCCACATTTTCCGTTCACTGCCGCTTCCTTTGTATCTTGCGAGGGCAAAACAAAAAGGGAAAAGGGAAACGCATCTCTTGAGGCTGCCAAGCCACGCCTCTTAGCATACTTTACAATTACTTTTAGCCAGTCCCTCGCCTTCGTTTTCCATGTAATTTTATCTCACTCAATGCCCCGCCGCTCGGCTGCTTAATTTTTACACTTGCCGCCTCCAAATGACATCCCCTGAGGTATATATGAGGCAAAAAGGAAAAGGCAGCAACAACAATGGCAAGTAAAAGAAAAGTGGCACAAACTTTCCTCTTGCCAAGCCTTCGGGGTTGGTTTTTCCGCAACACGAAAACGTGAAAGGCACAAAAATTGCCAAACAGAATTTAATAAAACCCATTTCCATTTATTAAATTCTTCGCTTCATCGTCGCCTCTCTAATTTGGTCTTGCCACAAACTTCAGCTGGCTTTTCCGACAGCCGTGGCAAATGTTTATCTTGCACATCCACGACTACTGGCGCAACTCATAAAGCAAACCTCAAGAAATGCAAATATCTGTTGTCGGTCTGGCCAACAGAAGAGCCAAAGTCTGAGGCGTCTTAACCGCAACTAAACAAGTAATTTTGTGCACATTTCACTTGTCATATGACACGTAGTTACCAACCCAGCAATCCGCTCCCTTCCCCTTTTTTTCGCCCTGTCTGGAAGCGATTTTCCTACTTAGCAGCTAGGAAAAGTTGCAAGCTCGTTGCATTTTCCCCACACCCCGATGGCCACTCCTCATAACGCGTGTTAAGTGCTTCCCCGACGAAGATACAAGATAGGAGCTGCGAGCTACAAGTTCAACTATTGCGTCCTTTTTGCTTGTTAGTTTCCGGTTTCGCAAAAAGGTGCGCCCTGCAGCTTGTTTTCCCGGAATTCTACTTCTTTTTCCTGTTTTTTGGGGAAACACTTAAAGCAGATCGGATAATATTAAGATATTTCCCCAGCAAGTGGAAGAAATTTTCAGCCATTGTCTTTATGCCTTTTATAGTTGCCTCTGTTAATGGCCACGTTCAGCCAATTAAAATTATAATTGGCTGACGTAAAAACTAACTGCCAAATACGTTGCGCCATCGAAGGAAAATCTCTCATTAAGCCTCTCAAAACTTTTCGCAGTGCAGTTTTCTGCAACGACTAACTAAGTTTCATTTTAAGACAGCTGCCAGACTGAAAAACGAGGGGAAAGGTGGTCAGATGCATCATAAAGCAAATCAAGCGTAAGTAACACCTTTGATATAAAGCTTAAGTGACAGCTTAAGTCGGGGACAAACGGGGCGTATACGCAATTTACCTCTCTCATCCAAGTTAGAATGTAATTAAAGTTTTTGCTCTTCTTTAATAACTTGTGTGATTGATAACAAAAAGTGTCTGCTTTATCCACGCAAAAATATTTCCAATTGCAACTCAATTAAGATTCTCCATCTCGGCAATAAAAGAAATTCCTTAGTTCGCATTTCAACACAATGACAAATGATTCAGTTCCCTTGCTCTTTATGTGGCCATAAATATAGGAGGGCGGCCATGAGTTCAAAGTTCAAAGGAGTCGAGGGTCTACAACTTGTAATTGGCACACAGATTGGGAGTCTGGAACATGTGTAGTGAGTTTTGTTCAGCCGCCTTAGGTTCTAATGAAAAAGGTTGCTTTTTGAACGCCTTTTGTTTGCTTGAGGTTTTGGGATTTCTGTGGGTTCCTTTAGCTGGGCTTCAGACAAATTGCCACCGATTAAGATTTTTTATCGGACTACTGAGGGGCTGCCATGAAAAATGAAGATGTTGAGGTTGCCTCTCTGGTTGTTGGTTAAATAAAGTTAAGTATTCCGAGGAACCCTTAATAAAGTAAGCCACTTTAAGTTACTTTAGCTCAAGTTTTCCAAATTGAAGTGCCTGAAAATTGTAAGTCACGTTCAATGTCTGCACCATCGAAATCAAATTGTATCCTTTACACCTCTAATAAGAGCCTTTGACAGGCTAATTAACACATTTGCCCACCCACAATCACGTCGTGAACCCATTAATTAAATGCTAATAATGATGACATCACGATAAGACAGACAAATCCCACCCCTTATTATTCGGACACCTATAAAACGAAGACAGTATTGCCTGTACAATTCACACCTCTGCGGATATTATAACCGACGGTATGGATTTCAAATCGATGGACACGGTTGAGATGCCTATTTTTGGGAGCACTCTCAAGTTAATGAAGTTCTGGTCATATCTCTTTGTTCACAACTGGCGTCGATATGTCGCCATGACTCCTTACGTATTAATCAACTGTACTCAGTATGTGGATATATATTTGAGCACTGAGTCCCTGGATTTTATCATCAGAAATGTATACTTGGCGGTTTTGTTTACCAACACAGTGGTGCGAGGTGTAATATTGTGTGTGCAAAGATCCAGTTATGAGCGATTTATTGAAATGGTGAAGAGCTTTTATATAGAACTGTTGGTAAGTATTCCATTAACTTTATTTTTAAACAAGTAACATAAGTTCAATTTCATAGGAATCAGATGATCCAGCTGTAAAACTTTTGGTTGAGGAGACAACACGACTCTCCGTTTTTATAAGCAGAATTAATTTAATGATGGGCTGTTGCACTTGCATTGGTTTTGTTACCTATCCAATTTTTGGTAATAATTATTTACTTAAAAAATTAAATCTTATGTTTTATTATATAAATTCAGTTCTTCCTTATGGCATGTACTTATTTGCAATTGATGAATACAAATATGCATCGCCCTTCTATGAGATTTTCTTTGTGATCCAAGGCATTATGGCTCCAATGGGCTGCTGCATGTACATTCCTTATACAAATATGGTGGTGACCTTTACCCTCTTTGCCATATTGATGTGTAAAGTATTGCAACATAAATTAAGAAGCCTTGAAAAGCTGAAAGAGGAACAAGTCCATGATGAAATAATACAATGCATAAAATATCAGTTAAAATTAACAAAGTAAGTATTTTAAAATGTTTTTCTAAATGGTGAAAAGATTTAAAATTTTGTAATATTTAGTTTAGTAGACTCCATGAATGCCTTGAATACTCATCTTCACCTGGTGGAATTCCTTTGTTTTGGAGCCATGCTTTGCGTTCTTCTATTTTCTTTGATAATTGTGAGTGGTGAGGATTTATTAAAAACTATATTTATTGGTATTTCCCCTCCCAACAGGCTCAAACAATTGCTCAAACAGTCATAGTAATTGCTTATATGGTAATGATATTTGCCAACAGCGTTGTTCTCTACTCCGTTGCCAATGAACTATACTTTCAAGTAAGAATACTCCTCCTCTTTCATATTTTTTTAAAATTTATCCACCATTTATCCTTAGAGCTTCGATATTGCCATTGCTGCCTATGAAAGCAATTGGATGGACTTTGATGTGGACACACAAAAGACTTTGAAGTTTCTCATAATGCGCTCACAAAAGCCCTTGGCGGTGAAGTCTTTTATACATTTTTTACCTATTTCTTGTTAATGATTATTTTCTCTTCAGATTCTGGTGGGTGGCACCTATCCCATGAACCTGAAAATGCTGCAGTCGCTTCTAAACGCAATCTACTCGTTCTTCACCCTTCTGCGTCGCGTTTACGGCTAAGTAAAATTCGCTTTAGCCTTGAAGCGACGAACAATTGCCACAATTGATTGGATTTAAGTGGCAAACGTTCTCCACTAAGGAAAATTGTGTTAAGAAGGGGGGAAATGCGGTGCAATTGGATTGTTGCGAATGCATTCGAGCCAACTGCAACACGTCTCCGAAATATTCCAAGGGAACGGGCAACGAAATAAACTATAATAAAATTGCTTCTCTGGCTCCTTTGTTGCCCTTTTGGCCATCTTCTTGGGCTGGCAGTTGACCACAAGCTCTTCCCATTGTTGTTGGCTCCTTGTTATGCCCGGCACGTGCCATTCAGATAACTTCTATTTAAGCAAATATAAATCTAAAGTGTGCTAAATTAGATTAAAATGTTCTCGTAAAATAAACGTTGTCCAGTCTGCAGCCAGCTGATACTGGGATTCCAGGACCTATGTTTCTGCCAGCTCCATTGTCCCTAAAAGTGCTTACAAATTCTCCCTCCGTGTGGCAAGTGAACCAAATTGTTAATTAATGCTGGAAATTGGAAACTCGGTTGTTTATCTCCTAAGAGGTCATTGAAAAAAAAGGGGAATGCTTTTATTGCTTCGTTTTGTAAAACAGAAAAGGGATTTTCAAAGGCAAGTCGAAGTTATCGATTCAATTTTGTAGAAAAATGTTGTAGAAAATGCTTGTACAGGTTGTCCCATTTAATTTACTTGATGGGCTTTTAGTTTGCTAAAAATATTTGCTTACAAATTTGTATACGATAACAAATTTTCATAAACCTATACTCGATTATTCTCCAACAGAAAGACGACTAATTTATTTTCCCACTCAGTATAAGAAAACAAAATTGAACGTGAAAAAGGTTATAATATTTCCAACAAAAATAAACAAAAATAAATAAAAATAAACAAAAATAAACAACAATATTCGTGACATTCTTTTGCTTCTCAAAAAATAAATATTATTAAAAAGTAGATTACACGTCTATTTTATTTGTTTTCCCCCTTTATTTGTGGTCCTTGACTTCAAATAAACGCCCCACACACTGTACACATTATCACTTCAATTTCCCTAATCAGCATTTACTTTCACTTCAGCCTGAAGACCTCCCCAAAAACCTCCCATCATCAGCATCTGATTCCGAGGCAGACTCGTCTTCGAATTGGCTTTAATTTAAGAATTTTTTATATCCTGGCTAACTGAAGGCAGAAAGCAGAAGTCACGGCCAGACCTACGAACGAAATCGCTTGACGAGCCTTCAGGCATTGTCTGCGTCTGCGGATGAGTCTCAGTCTGATTCCGAGTCTGAGTTTCAGTCGGTTTAATGGAATTTACCTCCTTCCCGGACTCCGAATCATGACTGCCGCGTTTTACTGCATACTTTGCCACGGAGACGGAGGCCGGAAAAAATGCTGATGCGACAATTATAGTTATTGTCTGGCTGGTCTGGAGAAGATCAGCCAAGACTTCCCTAATTCGGGAAGCCAAAAGTACGTGAGGCTGGCGAACTCCTTGAAAACTCCCCTTACTTCCCCTCATTTATCCCGATGGCAGCTGGCACATCTTGAATTTCAGATGGTACTGCGCCTGTTTTATTGCTAATGTAAACATGTTGTTGCTCCTTCAATGTCTTTGACGCCAAATTGACACATTTCTAGGGCGGATATTCCCGGCATCCCGCATCCCAAATAGTGTGCTAAAATGTTGTACGTGCGAGCATCGAGCTTATCAACACTAACAGCAAAAAGCAGAAGGCATCAGTGATGACGACTTAAGATTACAAAAAACAATGGAAGGAATGCCAAATATAAGTATTTATAAATAAATAAAAAAAATAAATACTATAATAGCAAATAAAGCCAAAGTTTAAAGTTTACAATTTTATTAAATTTATCGAAAGGCAACCCTAAAGTATTTGTAAACGAACTCTTGTAGAAAAAGTCAAGTGTACAACACTAAAAGTCAGCTACTGGCAATCTTTAATTTTCCCAGGCAGGTGGCAGTGGTAAAAGCCCTTCAGGCATTCGAAATTTATCGAGGCTCAAATCAATTTACGTCAATTCTCGCCTCGGGCCAAGTTATGTGAGAAGATTGCTTGAGTGGAAATCATGACTGCTACGAGTGTCTAATGAGGCGACTCCGAATATAACCCTTCTCCATTGAATTGTGCAACCCCCATCTATACATGAATTTTCTTTCATAGTTCTCGCCCCTGAATTCAAAGCTTGTTTTATGCGCATCATCCAGAAATTGCCTACGTGTTGGAATTTTTAAAACATTTTTCGTGTCCGCCTGCGCTTATTTTGTTGACACTCGACTTTTGACCGGGCCAAAAGGGACAGTCAACGAGAGTCGTTGATCCTGCCGCTCTGGCTGGGAAATTTAGGTCAAGCGGTCAAGTGTTTTATGTTTTTTTTTTTGGGGGGGTGCTGAATGAAAACCTTTCAAGGGTTTTATGATGTTTGCCTGCAGTGGCAAAAAGTTTAATGGGAAGAACGAATCATGGGTTTAATTTAAGAGAAACAAAAGGCAGTTCCAAATAGTCTGAAGTTTTGTTAAGTAATTTTGAGTTTAAAGTAACAGAAACATTTCCTTACTTGTGAGAACTTTAATACAAAGAACTTTAAGTTACAGTCCCCCAATTAAATAATCATTTAAATTAAAGGGTTTTAACATGCTCTTGATCTCATCTGCAAACTATGTTAATTTATTGAATTTATTTCAATTATGCCAAAAGAATTCCATTTGGATTCAATTTCACTAATGACTTTGGTATGTGACAACCTTAACCACTATCTATGTCAATCCTTTTGCCACAGGAATCGCTTTCTCCTGCACTTAGTTGCCTTGACCCGAGTGCATGTAATATCTATGCTAGTGAATTATCCGAGGAGTGAAGTTTTCCATTAAAGCATGCTCTGAATAATTCAACGCAATTTCGGTCGCAGTGCAAGGGTAATTGATACTAAAAGCGCAAGCTGCAATATAGTACCTCTTGCATAATTGAAGGCGAAGTGGCTTTCGTGTGTGGCCAAATCAAATTTAATTAACTGACTAAACAGCTGCCCGGCGAATACGTGGAGGCATTTGCTTTTGCGTATTTGCCTGACTAATTAAATTAATTTGGCCATTCAAATTGCAGGCATCTATACGATTGGGCTCGAAGTGCGGACACACACTGCAAATCTGAATCAAAGTTGCACATTCTTCGTTGAAACTCACCTAATTGTGTCGAAAAGCGTAGATTGCTATTGCTCTTTGCTCGTTGACCGGTTGGCAAATTGCTATTTACGGTCCGGACAGGTCGGCAGGATCCGGCGAATGCCATCAAAATTGCTGCACAAATCTGATTAAGATTTCAGTTTGGTAAGCGATTTATGAATGCCAAACGAGAGTGCGTGACCAGTTCTGTTGCAGGAATGCCTTCTCCTCCTTTTTGGCAAGGATTAGGAGCCAGTTGTCCTCCTCCTCTTAATGTTTCCGTATTTGAGTAGTGTCGCAATGGCTGCAGGCCAATTTCAGTCTGAAAGCCTTTCAAGTTCTGGCAAAAACAAAGCGGCAGACACAGAGCTCCAGGTTCGTGTCACTTAAAACTGGAAGAGGAAAACCCGGTAGCGTTGGAAATGCTTGTGTCCTTTTAAATGGAGTTGGAAACATTTTTGGGAGGATAATATTTGTCTGAATGTGAAAAGCTTCGCTGTGATTACACATTTTAATAGGATTTCCTGTGCATTCTTAAGTATTGGTATGCAATTTTAAAGCTTAAGAGTAAAATAAAATAACTGAATTGTTGAAAAACCTAGTTAATCCATAAGCTTTGTAATATAAACAACTCTTTTTTGTACCGAAAAGACTCAAATACCAATAAAATTGCAATTGCTTTTATAAAAACATAAGCTTAAAATACATCTGTCCATCTCAGTTCTACTTTTTCTTTTTTTTTATGTTATCCAATATTGAATTTATTTCCTGAATGTGAACTCCACTTTATTCTATTTTTATTCGCGGCTACTTTGTGGTTACTAAATCAATAGATTCAAGCCAATTTTCTTTCTTAACCAAGTCTTATTGCCAATCATGCCAAGCGGAGTTTTCTTTTATCAAGGAATCTGTTTTGACTTATCTCAACATTTCTCGTTGTTCCTCTATTGCATTTCTAAATTTCATTGTATTCCATTCGATTACTTTAAGTCATTCCAATTTGATTATCTGGCGGTCATTTTTTGTACTCTCTACTTATTTCACTTTTCAGAACACGCTATTTATTTATTATGCATTTCTTTTCACTGCCGGTTGTCTACCAAAATTTGTTTGTTTTTTTCCGGTACTGCTTGTCTGGCGGCTTTGACACTTTGTTGTGGCCTGTCGCTTTGCATTTTGGCCTGTTTCTTCCATTTCCTCTTCCTTTGAGTCTACTCCATTAGGACCTGTTTAGTCTCCTGGGTAGATTATCACCGTCATGGCCAATGAGCGTGGTGCCGTTTGCCTGCCTGTTTGCCTTTTTAACGTTTCAATTCTAATTTAAATATTATATTTTACTCTCTCAAAAAAAACTTCAGAAAGAAGTTCAGAAGAACAGAGGGGCCTGAAGTAATGTTTACACATATTCCTTTAAAAAAATGTAAGTCTGAAGGTTAAGGAAATTAAAAAGCAGCCGGGTATAATACCCGTTTTTATCATGTCATAAATATTTTTTACCACTTTAGCATGCTGACATTTGCCAACTCATTTAGTCACGCCATTTTCAGCCAATTAGCTAATTCAACCTTGAAGGGGACTATCCCAGGTACAGTCCCTCATCGCCATGTTAGTTTGCTGTTAATTAACAGTAGTGTGGAGTAAGCTGGATTCCTTTCCTTATTTGCATGAATGATTGCAATAGTTGGGAGAAACTTTTCGACAAATTATGATGCTGTCAACTGCCGTTGGCTCTTGGCTTTGTTTCGATTTCAGCTCTTCGGCTCCTGTTTTGTTTATATTTTTGCTTTGTCTGGCTGTCGCAGTGGCTGTCACATGTCAAATGTCAA